CAGCAAGACTAAGGCAGGGATCCTCTCTGGGAAAGACCCCTCTTTCTCATGTTAGCATCTCTTTTATCACAGCACTTAAGCACTGGAAAGCAGCTGTGTCCTGCACTCAACTGAACTTCTCTCTCTCTAGTCTATTTCAAAATCAGGTCTGGGCCATAGCAGGTGCTCAATAAATGTTTTAGGAAAGAATGAATAAAAGGCATGAATCAGAGGCCAATGAATCACATATAGGTCTGTTAGGAAAACACTATCCCTGAGACTGTGATTTCCCAGGGAGCTGGCACCTTGTTCTACGAACTTTTTAAATTTATCCAATTCAAACTTTTGGTGGTTTCTCATAAAGTTAAAAAATAGCATTACCATATGAAACAGCCATTCCACTCCTAAGTATAAAATCCAAATATAAAGCAGGCACTCAGATACTTGTACATGAGTATTCATAGCTGCATTGTTCAGAATAGCCAAATAATGGAAATAACCCAGGTATCTATCAGATGAATGGATAAACAAAATATGGTTTATATGCACACAATGGAATTTTAGTCTCAAAAGGATTAAAATTCTGTAAAATGCCACAACATGGATGAATTTTGAAAACATTAAGCTAAATGAAACAAGCTAATGACATCATGTGACTGTATGAATGTTACAACAAAGCCCACTATTACGTATAATTATAATCTACCAATAAAAAGCTAGACACAAAAAGACAAATACTGTACCATCCCGTTTATGTCAGGTACGTAGAACAGGTAAATTTAGAGGCGTATAGAAAGGAGTTCATCAGGGATGATAAAAATTTGTAGAAATCAGTAGTGGTAACATGACACTGTGTGTGTACTCAGTGTCACTGAACTGCACACCTAAAAAGGGTTAAAATGGTAATTTTGTTATATATATATTTATCACAGTAAAAAAGGTGGACAATTTGACACATGAAAAAAGAAAAAAAGAATTCTTGAGAGTTCTTCTTTTCCTGTGCTTAGCATGATGTAGTTGCTTTGATAATCGTTCACTGAGTATCTGCTCTGACTGGAAACTGTACCAAATGTTTCACCCAGCTCCATAGACTTCTGTGACTCGTCTAATTATTTAATCAAGCTGGAGAAACCTTAACTTCTATAGAACAGCACTGACCACAAGGTCACCTAGAACTGACTACAAAGCCCATTTCAAACTATCATTTGGCACTGGGGGATAAGTTTTCCAGATTTACAACAGTATTGTTGGGGAATTTAAGTGATGAATTGCCTTCTTAAGGCCTTTATAAATAGTTTGCTACTTAAATTTTATAGACTGGATTTCAACATATGAAAAATTACTTACATTTGTTAGATTATCAGAAGTCTGGAAGCTTTTTTCTTTTTTAAAAAGGTGCGATTTATAACAACAAGCATTGGAAACATCAAAGAAAGTGGAAAGTTCAAAACCAGTGAACATGAAATAGTCAAGCAGTGCCCTAAAAGATATTCTAAAAGAGGAAGGCAGACAAGCTAGAGGAAAAGAATGTACCAGAAATATGAGCAAGACCTTCACCTCTTGACTGGCTACTAAATGACCAGATCAACAACTGTGGGAACACAGCAGGTACAGTCATTACAGCCCTTCCCGTTTCTGTCCCCTTCCCCTTCCAAAGGAAGACCTCTGGAAGGGCCACCACATGTAGAAATAAGATGTCAAGCAGGGGCTGGGGATATACCTCAGGTGGTAGGGTGCTTGCCTTGCATGCACAAGGCCCTGGGATCAATCCTCAGCACCACACACATACACATACACACACATACACACACACACACACACACACACACCCCTAAAAAAAGGTCAAGCAATTAGTAGAGGACCTGCCACACAGCAGATGTTCAAAAGATACTCCCTGCAGCTCTATTTCATACTGAAGTTATAGGGAAAGTACATAAGGCTGGGCGAGGTGGTACATACCTGTAATCCCAGTGGCTCGGGAGGCTCAGGCAGGAGGATCACAAGTTCAAAACCAGCCTCAGCAAAAGTGAGGCACCAAGCAACTCAGTGAGACCCTGTCTCTAAATGAAATATAAAAAAGGGCTGGCGATGTGGCTTAGTGGTTAAGTGCCCCTGGTTTCAATCCACAGTACCCCTGCCAAACATATATTTTTTCATTTTTTGTGCTATAGAAATGGTCTTAATTTTGCATTTATCAGGCACTTATTACTTTCATTTGGCATTATTAGGGCAGAGTAGAGTAATATTTCCATTTCTCAGTATATATGATGTAAATACATCTGACAAAAGTAGGTCAGAGTTCCATAAAATGGTGATTTCTCAACGTTGGGTGTCTTAGATTAGGTCATAAATCCTGATAAGTGAAAGGGTCTTCTGTAAGTCTTAAAAATTCGTTAGGGCAATTCCAATCCATGCAGTATCAGGGGGGTACTTTGTGTCTCTGGCTATCCTGATATACCTTAGATAAAAACTGAAGTTATTGTACCCCTATCCTTTTGGCTGGATCTGCTTTCACATAAAATATTCACTCTCCATCTTTTTTTTCCCCCACCAAGAGGCAAGGTCTCACTCTGTTGCCTAGGGTGGCCCCCAAATCCTGGGCTCAAGTGATACTCTTGCCTTGGCTTTCTGAACAGCTAGACTACAGGCAGCCTCAGCCATGCTCATCTGAAACACTTTCTCAAATCTAACAGGCAGAAAAGACACCACAGAGATCAAGAAATTGACCAAAAGTCAGTTGGGTGTTTGTGGCCATCTATTCTAGTGCAACTTTTCTTCCTGGTACACACGTTTTTAGTAAAAATGACTTGAATTTTTTTTTTTTTTTACTTCTCCTTTTGGTGCTGGGGATTTAACCCAGGACATTGTACATGGTAGGCACATGCTCTACCACTGAACTACATATGCTTCCAGCCTGCTTAAATGTGGCTTTTTAAAAAATCTAGTGCCCTAAGCAGAAATCATAGAGCAGTGTAGTTCTGACTAGAATTTCCTTAGATAAAATTATTAGCTATTTTACTAGGTAATAAAGATGCAAAATATTAATTTTAATATCAAATACTATTAATATTTAACACATATAATTCAGTTAACTATTTTTATTCTTGTGTGACATCTATATATCAGTTTCCCATAAAGAAAAACTGTCATAAAAAATTTAAGGTCTATGAAATTTTACTCATTTCCCTTACTGGGTCAAAATGATTGTATTTTATTGCTTCCACTTTTGTATAGAGCTGTCACAATTCTAAGTAGCCTAGACTGCCTCTATCTATCAGGTTTTTAAATTTTGTTTTTTAGGACAGTGGAATAAATGTGTTTTTAAAAAATTAAGGTACAACTTAACAAGAATATTAGGAAACAATACTTTCACAGTTTAGAGTATCATGAACAAAAGCATCTGCTTCTACTTCAAAACGATTCTTTCTAAAAACTTCTAAAATAATTTTCTTAACAAATACTTGTACTTTCAGCCCAGTGTCCTACTTGAGAATATAAAAATATGTCAATCTCAACTACTTCTTACCTGAAAGTTTTCTTAAGGTTTTATATAAATTAATTACCTCAAGATTGTGATAGACATTCAGCAGATAAAAAAATTCAACGAAGACTATTTCATGTCTTTAAGTACAGAATTTTAGGATGTTAAAATCATTTGATATCAAAGAAACAAAAGGATTAAAATCACAATAACAAACCCACAAACCTCCCTGGCCTGCCTCCCATTCTAGTACTGACAGAAAATAGGACCACAAAGAGGGCAGTTGAAGTGCTTATGCCAGAGATAAATAAAAACATGGTAGACAGAGACACACATGGTGGAGAATAAATTTAATTTTAACAGGGGAAAGGAATACGTTCTTAAAGGTGGTTGTGGTGGCTTAAGCCTAAGTGTTCCTTTTAGTTCCACCTGTAAGAAAAAAAATACAAATTTTTCCTCTAACTGCTTCCCAGCAGTTTCAATGACAGCAAAACATCAAATCTATGATGGTGCTAGAGATCTTCTACAGGGACAGGGAAGATGCAACTTGATGAATGTTTTTTTAGTCTGAAGAGAGAAGGAGAGAGAGAAAAAGAGGGAAAGAGAAAGAGAGGAGAGAAGAATAAAAACTAATTTTCCAGTCGGGGAAATACTTATAAAACCTTTTATGTCAAAGTTAGGATTTCACAACAGAACACACTAATGCAAAATCCAGTAGCACCTGTAAGATTTAAGTAAATGCTGTCATCACTTAAATGCTTTTAAATTTCTGTAAAAGTCTGAAGGAAATAAAAGATGAAGTACATTCTCCAGAGAACAAATGTATTTAAAAATAAAAACTGTATTTTGTTTTTCTTTTTTTCCATTTTTTTTTTTGTTTTTGTACAAGAATTCATAGTTATAATAACTTACACACAATGGAATCAATCTCTGCTCTCTTCCTCTGTCATTTCAAGTCCACATGTTCAGGCTATAGTCCCCAACATCATGTTCTGATAAATATATCACCACAATTTAATCTAAATATAGATACATTATATAATACTTGTCTCTGGGAAAAAATCAAATTTTAATATGCAAATATTTATATAATACAGAAATGGAAAAAAAAACTACAGTAGGCACACAACCTAATTATGAGTTGTAGAGGATGATTTCTAGATACTCTCCTACTGTAAATGAATGCTTTAAATAGTCTTAGTAAGAAGGTTTTATTTATATGTGCACTTGTGTCCACCTTATCCCATATTTTGTACGTTTACTGACAATCTGGGAATTTAAAGGTGCAGCCCTCAAAAAATTGTTAAGTCAGTTAAAAAAAAAAAAGAAAGAAAGAAACAACTAGGTTCTATTGGACAAAGAAAACACTCACAAAATTTCCAATTTTAAATTTCATATCAGTAGGAAAATATTAAAAATAATTTTCTGTATATACATATGGGTATATGTATATGTTGAATTACACATATGCCTCACATTATCAATACAATTCAAGTGGAGACATTTTGGTGAGTTATTTTCCCATTAAATGACCACTATGTCAAAATTTAAAAATATTTTATTACATCATTAAAATAATTCACTTACCATTTCAACAGCTTACACTGTTTTTTTTTTTTTTAAAGTTTTTTTTTTAACTCTTCATAACTAAATTCCCTGATCCCTAGTATTAGTCCCTTATTTAAGTTAAAACCTGGTGCTCTTTGTACTTGAAACTCATGGATAAAATCACATTGACTTCAAAATTCTATCCATCAAATAAATTTTATTACCTGATTTATCAGAGAAATATCTTAGCTCTGAGCATATGTACCTAAATTATTCTCCCTATAATAAATAGGTGAGGAAAATACCCTAAAATAGCTGGAGGTAACTTACATGATATAATAGCACATATAATACATGATGATTAAGTGTCTGATATAAACTTTTCAGAAACACCTGAAAACTCACTTTAGAAACTAACTTTAGAAACAAATCATTTATTTTTCACTCTAATATAAATTAATATGTATGTATTTATATACATACACATAGATATAAAACAAAATTATCTAGTGTTGAGTAGCTATTCATGAGTGAAAAAATGGTTACAAATTGATTAATTAGCTTAATTTTGTACTTGACAATTCAATCATTTGGGGTACAAACAAAAAGTCAGTGCATTTATTGACTCTTTAGAGTCAAATACTCAAGCATACACTTTAAAAAAGAACCCTCCTCAACATGACAGGCATTGTACAGCAAGAATATATGTACTCTGATGCAATTCCTACTCCATAAGCAGACCAGACAGAACTTGGCTTACTTTTAAAATATCCTCATAAAAGAAATATATAAAGAAATGCATGTTTGCTAAAAGTCTTTTAAAATTACATCAAAACAACATTAAAACCTGCTCACTGAAAAGAGCCTGTTGGATGTAATTCCTGTTTTGAAATGCCTAGTTAACAGTTCAGAATATTGCCTTGTGAGGTTTGAATAAAGATGTGGTTGATGTGAAGACCCAGCCAGGATACATGACTCCATCTCCATCTGCCATGATCACAATTTAGATACAGTCCTCTGATTGGCTGTTTGATGTAAATGGATCCCCTTGAAAATAGCTATACACCTTAAAATTATCTATAATAAACAGTTTCCCAATAACCATTACTCATAAATTGAAATGCGTTGATCTTTCAGAAAAGATTTCTTGCAAAATATATAAATAAATGTAACTGCATATTTTCTGTAAATATACTTAACATTGCTAGACCAGACCGTCAATGACGGACTGCTGTATTTCAGTTCTGTGTGTCAAATTTATTAGAAATTTAAAAACAAAAATTTCTGAGGGACTCAGCTGCCTTTGTTAGTTGGCTTTAAAATGTATAATAAAATGGGAGACAATATCTTCTCATAAATACATGGAGTCAATATGGAAAAGTAAACTATACAACGGACAAGATTAGAGAACACCAGAGTGTACCAGAGTAGTCACCAGAGTGAAAAATCTTCCAGTACAAAAAAGGGAAGAACTCTATACACCCAGTTATAGTGTCTTTCAATTAAAGATGCAGCGCTCTCTCACTCCTGGCAAGAATTAATTGGTAATGGCACTGCTTTTCAGCAGTGCAAAAATATCCTGAGAAATTATTCAGATTACAACAAAAGACAGGGCTTTCATCACTAAGTTTTTGCACAAAACACAGCTCTAGATATCATAAATAAATTAATTTAAAAAGCAGATAACCTTCACTGTGTTGAACACAAAAAGGGGATGTGACCCAGACATTGTTAATTCTCCCATTGGCTAATATTGGAAAAAAAAAAATTGCATTAAGTGTCTATTTATAACTTTCTAGTTAACTATGGCCAATAATATACATGGAGGTAATTTGTAGTTCAAGTTTTTCATCTCTTTTTTTTTTTCCCAACTAGCTACAAGCTGAATTCTAAAATTTACACTGAAATATACAATTCCAATTTTCAAAAGATCCTCATCCTGGAGTTATATTCAAAATTTTTTTTTTTTTTTTTTTTGTGCAATCTTGATGCAGAGCCCAAACAGTTCTATGAAGAGAGACAGTGTATCTTTTAATCAATGGCACTGAAATTTCACTTTCCTTAGCTGCATTCTAGTAGCTTGGCCAAGTTATCTCGTAATTCTGTTAGTTCAAATATTTTTCCATCCAGAATTTCTAACAGTGTCTTCAGGTTATTGCGAAAAGCTTCTTGTTCGTTCTGACTCTTCTCCAGACGTTGCTCTAAGTCAGACAGCTGTCCCTCCAGATCTTTGTTCCGAATTTCTACTTCCTTCAGAAACAAAATTATAATACACATATATATGTCAATTCATCTCTTATAAAACAATACAGCTTTGTTATTTCTAACATTGTGTAATAATTATGACACTGAGGATGAACTAGTGAAGCTCAATTTAACACAATTTAAGGGAATTTCAAGACTAGGAGGCCACCTCAAGAGAGCCATGTAGTTTTACTGACCTGCTGATTTATGAATCCCTCTAACTACCCAACAAAAAGTTACTGACTTGATTTTGGGCCAGGCAACACTCTAGGTACTTTACATCTAGACAAGATTAAAGACACATTTCATGGATTATTTACCTTTTATTTTTACTGCTGCCTACCTACTTTTTCCTAATACAAAACTGTTAGCAATCTCAGGTAAAAATAAGCAGAGAAAAAGAGAAATTGAGTTTTTCTCCTTTGGCAACTCTAGAAAAAGATTTAGTGAAGAAAACAACAATCTAAAATGAAACTTCAGGCTATATGTTAATTATTATGTTTTGCCTCATTATTGAATGAATGCACATGTAAGAATATAGTTCAACTGCTAAAAAATCCAGTAAAGATAAACAGTAACTGCATTACAGAAATATAAAGCTAACAATTCCACTATGCTGCAAGGGAAAGGAAAAAACTACAAAAGGGAAGCAAAAATTTTTGACAACAAAATAATATTTTAAAAAGTTTACCTAAAACTTATTTAGTAATTACTACTGCTTTTAAAAATGTTTCTAAATACCACAAATATAACAAAGTGAACCTAAAAATAAAATGACATAATGTGAGGTAGTGATTTTAATTTTAGTTAAAAAAATTCAAAATGATAGAAAACCAACTATAACTTTTCTTTTGGTGGTGCTGAGGATTGCACCCAGGGCCTGTGCAAGCTAAGCAAGCATTCTATCAACTGAGCAATATCCTTAGCCCTCCAACTATCACTTTTTAAATAAACTATTCAAATAAACAATGAATTGAAAGTTATATATCCTTTCTGGAAAACCCACTTTAATATCTAAGAGGAATTAAGTGACTGACATGAATTATAATGGAATATGTACATTATATGGAACAGTGAAAACATTTTGGTGTTAGTTACACAACATGAATCAGACACAGAAAATAAGATGTTTCAAGTGTTAATACATCAGTTCAATGTAAATCTCTAAAGAAATTCTATCAATCTAAAGGATAGTAGAAAAATTTTAAATTAATATAAACTGGTAAAAATTTTAAATTAACACAATCTGGTAAATGTTAAGTGAAAGGAACAGAATGTGAAGCAGCATACTGCCACTAGGCTGAGGACACACACTGGGAATTTATGTAGAAAGAGGACAGAATTCTGGTGCTGGAATTACAGGTATTTTTTTCCTAAGAATTATTTTTCTTACAATTTCTTCAAAATCAAAGTTTTAAAAACTAATTGGGAAATTGAATATATTTAAGAAAGTAACAGTTTATTTAGAATTCCGAACATAATCACATGCTTTGACAAGATAATTATGAGCAAGGATCAAGCAAGGATGCCACAGATGAACTGCAAGAAAATTTAAGGTTAATAAAACAGCTGTGATGATTTATAAATGAAGGGTTTAAGGATCCAATCTAATCTCAAAGTATTTACTGTCAGATGTTAACCATGTATGTTTCTAATCTCCTTTCTCTGAATAATCTGCAAGGTAAAGATAAGTAAACTGAGAATAGAATCTGAAATTAAAAAAATATTTATAAATTCAGAAGCCAAATCTGTGGAGGCTATAAACTATCAAGGAGGAAACAGATCCTGTGATCAAATGTAAAAATTCCACTCATGATTGCACAGCATGCTCTCTTGCTGGCTTAAACAATAAGCTTAAGGACAGAATGTTTCCAGCTATAAAAATAGACCAAATGTCATTCACTAGCAAATACCCACTTTACCAGCCACCACCCACTTTGCCCTCTAAAGCCTTCCTTAGAAATGAAAAGCTCCCTTGTTCTCCCTGGCCATCAATGGGATGTCCAAACATTTTCAATGGAAGAAAGCAAAACACACAATTCTCTCAGCTATTAAAATTGCTTTGTTCTCTCCAAAGTGAGTCTGCTACTCTAAGCCATCTCTCTGTTTGCAGGAATTTTACTATCTAAATAATAAAAGAGATCTAATACAATGCTGATGAAGCTAGTCTATTTTTAGGCTCAGAGAATATGTTCCTAGAGCAAGAACAGACAACTTAGTGAAGAGGGGCCAATCAGATGGTTCTAAAGCCATGGTCAATAGCACTTCTTAATTATCTACCCTTTGTCCATGTTTTCCAATCCTTTCCTTCTTGCCTCATTCTCTCTCCAAACTCATAATTCTACTCACTATCATTTCTTGCCTACTACATTCTTCTTTTCCTTTACTGATGAAAGAGTAAAGGCTCATGCTAGGGGTACCCAGAGGCCTAGCTCAGATTTGAAAGAGCCCTACAGGCCAGAATCGATAACTCCCTTTTGAGTGCTTTAAAAAAAAAGGTCACAATTAAAAATATAAGCTTCTACTGGGCAGAAAGTCATGCTGCTTACTTGTTAGACACGGAAGCTAAAATGCAAGACTGTTTAAAAGAAAATCACACAACAATAACCACCACAAATGGGATCAGACCATTTAAAAATTTAAATCCTACATCATTTAATCCAAATAAAAGCAACAGAAAATTATCATTATTGGTATCTGACACATACCTTAAGCTTTTATAAGTAAGAGATATTATTGTCTTATTAGATAGTTAACCTTCATATATAACAGGACATATAAATCATCAAGACAAGTATTAATAACTCATTTTTACCCAGAAAAATGGATAAAAACCACACATACACATTGTGAAAAAGAGTTACTCAACTATTAATTAGTGAACATTTATTACTAGGCAGTGGGAATAAAGTAGTAAATAAAGATGGTTCCTATTTTAATGGAGCATGCATTCTAGAAGGAAGACAAGGACAATAAAGAAAGCAAACAAAAGATTTCTGGTTAGCCAAGGTAATGTGAAATCTATCATCATCTCAAAATGTCAAAAATAATGGAAATAAAACTGCACAGATTCCATGACTTCAATGTAACTAGAAGAAAATAAAATGTGTCAAATTACCTGTAATTAGAAAGTATAGGCACCAGTTTCCACAGAGCTGCTTCTCAAATTCTCATTCTAACCCTCTGCAGAGGGAAAGCAGGGCTTTGGGGGCAATGCAGGAAAGATTGAAGAGAAAGGCCTATGGGACTATGATAACCCTAAGACCACTGTGAGTATCAAAATACTGAAAGAATAGGAAAAAAAGGATCTAGAAGAGAGCAGGTTATAAGAATGAAACTTGAAAAGGCAGCCTTGGAAAGGCAATAGACACTTGTGAAGAGAAGAGGATAAAAGAAGAGAAAAAACTTTCTGGAAAAGGATGGTAAAGGAACAAAGAAGCAAGTTATAAAATTAAAATATTAAAAGATAAAGAAAATTAGAATAAAGACACACAACTTCTCCCTCTACTGTGTTCCCAAAAGAGGGTGGTCTGAACTACAAATTTATAAACTACCCAAAACCACCATTCTATACATAAAATGCAAAGACTTAAGCAAACTTCATCTACAAAAACTATTATAAAGGGGCTAGGGTTGTGGCCTAGTGGTAGAGTGCTCAATTAGCATATGCGAGGCCCTGGGTTCGATCCTCAGCACCACATAAAAATAAATAAAATAAAGGTATTGTGTCCAACTATAACTAAAAAATAAACATTTTTTAAAAACTGTTACAAAAAGAAAATACTCAAAACACTTCAGTAAATGGAAATCAACTTGAAACAGAAAAAAAGCAGACACTCCAACCTGAATTAAAATTCTGAAACAAACATTAAAAAACAGGCTTGATTAAATACTCAAAAATTAAGAATAAGATGGGCACAGTGTGGGCGTACACCTGTAATTTTAATGCCTGGAGGGCTGAGGCAGGAAGATTGCAAGTTCTAGGTCAACCTCTGCAACTCAGCAAGACCGTGTCTCAAAATAAAATTTAAAAAAAGGGCTGGAGATATAGCTTAGTGCTTGCCTAGTAAGTGTGAGGCTTTGGGTTCAATTCCCTGGTTCAATCCTCAATAATGCAACAAAACAAAAACAAAAATAACAATAGAGGAAAAAAAGCTCCGAGAAATAGGAGAGTTGATTTAGCCCAAGAAAGAAACAGAAGAAAAAAGCAAAATCATATCAGAAATTGAAAGGAAAGTGACCACGACACTCAGAACAACCAAGAGATGTTTATTGTGGTGGTGTCTGATCTACTGGTGGGGGTGGGGTGTGATACTAAGTGTCATCTTCTGCTTTCAAGCAGATTGGGCATGGGCTAAGCACAGGTTTCAAATCCAAAAACAAGAGGAAGTAAAGGAAAAAGGCGCCAAATAACCAACCAAAGAAGAAAGGACTAACGAAGAATGAGGGTTGGATACTCAGTTTTACCCTGCAGCTAACATTTATTCAGCCTGTCCTGCAGCTAACAGAAATAAGGACTGACTTAATGTACCCAAAGAAAAAAATAGTTCTTAATAAAAACTTTTAAATTCAGTTATTATTACTTATTTGTTATTTTTCAAAATTTAAAGGAATAAAAGTGAGATAAAGAGGGGAAAAGAGGTTGAACTAAATAATCCAGCTACATAAAACTGGAGCTCATAAAGAAGAAAAACAACAGAATAGAATACTTAACACCTTTATACAAGAAAACTTCTTGGAAATAAGAACTGGATGTAAAGATTAAAAGGGCCTATTTTATACCTAAGAAAACTGACCCCCAACAATCAATTCCGAGAAACATCTTAGTCACTCTAACTTTACTTAAAAATAGAGGGGAAAAATCCTTGGAGCATTCAAGCAAAATAGCTCCAAATTTAAAAGTCAACAGAATTATACTGGAATCAGACTTCTCAAAAATAATATATAAAACAAGGCAATACTTGTCATTTCCAAGTAACTCAAAGACCTGGGAGCAGTGCACACAT